TCATCATTTATGTTGAATAGACTCTCCCAATATTTTACGCTGCTGCACTGGCATTGAACTGTGTGCTGCACTGGGTCGGTATGACCAACAGGTCAAAACAAGCTCAAAACAGTGCGCGCTGTGCCTGATTGGTGTTCTTGCTTCGTGCTGCTTTCATTTTGACGTTATGTTTTTATACACACATAAACCAAAAGGAACGACAGATTTCTCATAATGTAGTGGAGTATAAAGTAAGATATTTGACTTTGAAATGTAGTGGAGTGAAAGTAAAAAGTTGCCCAAAATGGAAATACTTCAGTACAGATATGTGAAAAAACTACTTAAGTACAGTAATGAATTACATTTACTTTGTTACTGTCCAAAACTGGCATTCAGACACAACAGCATTAGTAAAGTCAGAAACTGACGTTGGATAATTTGTTGACTCATTTCAAAAGTATTGGATGGACCTCCATCACTCCCAATTCCACTGCTCCACAGCCCAGTGGGAGGCTTTTTGCTCCACTAGCTGATGCCTGGTATTGGCCATGGTGACCTTAGTGTGCTCATGTGCTGCTGCTCTAGAACGTCCCACTCTGTTGCCAGTGCTTTTCTATGGAGATTATACAAACCATGTGAATGCAATTGAATGACTGTGCCAACAATGGATGCAGATAAATTCACTAATTAGAAGGGGTGTCTAGATACTCATATATATATATATATATATATATATATATATATGTATGTTGATACCTGTTGACTAGTTCATTTTCCAGATTTTAAGACTGCTGTGGTGAGATCTTAACTCAAGAACATCATCTATCAGCTATGGGAAGGTTTTTGCAACATGCCATCAAGTAAAATCCCAGAAAAAGTTTTGAAACAACTAACAAACAATTTTAAACGAATCCCTGAATGGTACAAATTGCTGTGAAGAATCTGGAACTAGATGCTGATGAAAAAAAAAAGTCTAAGGCCTTATTTTCATTGGGCCATATCGCTGCTTCCGACTCCATCAATCACAGAACACAGCTAAATTAGCTGTGAAAGGCATGAATTTCTCATGGTTCAATACTCGAATTCCCCTTTTGCTTGTTCACATGTTGCCACTGGGCCGTATCCTCAGTGAACACAGAGCTAGTGAACTGTTTTACTGGTTTTTGCAGTGCACTAAAATACCTTGAGGTTAAATGAAGAAAACGTTCTCTTTGTTCAAGTTCAAAAAGAGAGAAATGAATAAATAAACTCAAGTATGAGGTAAGGACGTCACCTCCTGATTCGCGTAGAAATACTGCCATTCTATTGACTTTATTTCAGCTCAGAAGTGTAAGATTGTCATCTCTCTTACACGGCTGGATGAAAAGAAGATGATTCATACTTCCTTCTTAAACTTGGTTGCCTGAAACAAATCACTCCTCTCAAAAACTCAGAGGAAAAAATGTAGTAGAGCATACATTTTTGCTTCCTTTAGAATTTAAATTCTTAAACGTATTTTAATTCAAAATGAATGAAAATGCCTGTTTATACATCTCGGCTTTCCTGACTAAATATGTCCCATAGGTATGAGATCAGGGAGTGATTTAACTAGACAAAATGTTTTTTGGAGAACTGAGATAAACTCCTTGTAGTTTATATCATGTTTGAAAAGGTCTTGTCATATTCTCTGACGCAGGTTTTTTATTTGTAATTGAATACATAGACCAGAACCACAGTTTAAGGGTTAAAGAAAATGAACATGCCTAAGTCTTGAGGTCAGTCAACCACAAATATAGATAATTTTAAGAGATAAATCAAGGAATGGAGAAACAACCGCACCATGTTCTACATAGAGTAGGACAATTTGGACCAATTAAGAACATATTGCTGACCACTGCAGAGATCAAATCATTCACAGTGCTGTACTGTTGATAAAAATCTCTTGCTTCACTTTTAAAGAATGTATCTTAACCCACCACCACTTACGCCATACAAACCCATCACTGAAACACTCCCGCGTTTCTCAATCTAATCCCTGCCTGCTGTATCATCAGTCTTGGAACCAAACCTTCATTTTTGGATTTTTTTCTTTATTGAGAATTTGAAAACATTTTTATTTCTGGAACACAGAAACATTATTTCCATCTGTGACACTGAGCTGCCATATAAAATGCCTTTGGTTCTACTATTGCTTCTGTAACATGTTCTATAGCTTATATCATAACTGACATTTTCATCGATGACCACAATTACTTGAACAGTTTGTTCATTTTAGATACAGTAATGTCAACCAGTGTATATCCTTTGTTTTAAAACACTCTGTTTATGAAAATTAGTCTGACAATTATTTCATATTTTAGAAGCTACTCATGCAGAAGCACAAGTACCTCCAAAAGTTCAGAAACTTTTTCAGGCAACTGTACATCCACTAAACCCAGGTACAGTTCAGCGCTTGCTTTGTGTTTTGTTGCGTTGGTGATAATAAACATATTTATTTTTCAAAAACTCTTACAATCCGTGGGTGAAATGAAACTGAATTAAAACTGAATTAAAAAAGAAAAATAAAAATCACATATGATGTTATTCAGTCTGAAGAGACTAAACTCGATTTTGAGGTAAATAAAAAGCATTTTTTCAAGGAAGGCAGAATGTTACTGTTACTGTTAATCTGACTGTATTTTGTTTGTTTGTTTGTTTGTTTTTAACACTGCAGAATACATGCAGTATTAAAATAAATACTTTATGTGCTCTAATAAGGGCTCTATATTCAGTGAATGTTTATTCTGTACTGTAAAGGCACCTATTAGACTATTTAATGGCATTCTGCAATTATTTCCTCAACACAGCAGTTATAAAGCAGGGATATTTCACCAGTTTATTATTGTAGAATTTAATGCTTTAGTAATATTAAATATACAACTGAACACTGCTTTTCTATGAATCCTATGTGCTGACTATCACGACCTGATGATATTGGCACATTAATTACTATACAAATTAATATACTGATTCTGACTTGAGGCATGCAAGACGTGGTTAGTTTATTCATATTCATGGTGATATGATTACTTCTGCAAATATATATATATATATATATATATATATATATATATATATATATATATGACAATAATAATAATAATAATAATAAGTAAATAAAGCATAAATTAATACTTAAAAATGTATATATCTTTATTGTAAAGTCTTCCTTTTCATGTAAAGATACCAATATGAACATGCCAGGTTTTGAAGCGACAGCGGTGATATAATTAACACAGACAATAATTCTCTGTACTGTGAATACAACAGAAAACCTGTTGTCTCAAAGCACAGTTCAGCATCTGCCCATTGACTTCTATTGTAAATGATTTCAAAGGCGGTGCATTTTCTGTTCTTTTACTGCACACATGGCGACACAACAATATTGTCCTTAGTAATTGATCGCATGCTTAAGATGCAGCAGATGGAGATTCGTTTAAAACTGCTTAAGTTTCCCTTTAAGTGTCTGAGGCTGAAGGAGTCCACACGTGACACAAAACTGGCAGCTCTGTTGGAATCAAACACAGTGAGATCTGTTCTAATCTTGGGGTAAAATCAGAACAGTAAGCGTGAACAGGTCACAGTTAAATCAGTGCGAGATACTGGCCAGGATAAGTAGAGCTTCTAAGCCGTACTGTAAGGGGGAAACATGTCAAAACACATTTCTACATGTGTGTGTGTGCAGATATGCACCACTTTCAGAACGGAATCTAGTGGGAGAATCATACCTTCTGAATCATTTACGGATTATTATGCAGGCTTAGGTCTCCTTTGCAAAGGCACTACACTCTTAAAAATGATTCTTCAAGGGTTCTTTAGTAAACATGATGGTTCTGTATAGATTTTTTTTTAAATGTTTGCATATAGCACGAAAAAAGGTTCTTCTATTGCTACAAGCTTGACATCGTAACAATAGAAGAACGCTTTTTGGTTCTCTTCTAAAAGGTTCTATATAGAACCACATACAACACATTCTTCATCAATCTGAAGATCTATTTATTGATGCAAAGAACCATTTAAGCATGCAAAGGGTTCTTTGCATGTTTATGGGTCTATATAGAACCACTGTCTTCACTAAAGAACCCTTGAAGAACCGTCTTTTTAAAGAGTGTAGGGTGACACTTTATATTGAGAGGTCCTTTTAGATGAAACAGGCTAGGATTAGGATTAGGGCCAGGGTTAGGATTAGGTTTTGGGTTGAGGTCAAGTTTAGGGTTAGGATTAGGGCCAGTGTGAGGGTTAGGATTAGGTTTTGGGTTGAAGTTGAGGTTAGGGTTAGGATTAGGGCCAGGGTGAGGGTTAGGATTAGGTTTTGGGTTGAGGTCAAGGTTAGGGTTAGGATTAGGGCCAGGGTTAGGATTAGGGTTAGGTTTTGGGTTGAGGTCAAGGTTGGGGTTAGGATTAGGGCCAGGGTTAGTGTTAAGATTAGGTTTTGGGTTGAGGTTCAGGTTAGGGTTAGGATTAAGGCCAGGGTTAGGTTTTGGGTTGAGGTCAAGGTTGGGGTTAGGATTAGGGCCAGGGTTAGTGTTAGGATTAGGTTTTGGGTGAGGTTGGTAAGGTTAGATTTTGTGTAACATATTAATAGTAAATCTACTTTATGTAAATAATGTATCAACACAACATCTTTGAGATGTTTACGTCAGTGTATTCAGATGCCTCACTACTGCTACTTCACTGATGTGTTGTTGATGTGTTACTGATAATCTGTTAAGAGTTTATTAATCATCTATTAAGGACCACTCCAAATAGTGTTAGCGAGTTTGGGGCACTGGCTTCAGAACAGAATGAACTGTGTGTTCATTGAAATATAAACAGTACTGAAAGGATCATAAACAGATTCTAAAATTGTTTGTTTCTCAAACTGCTCCCCAACATCCCCGGCAACAACCCCCACGCTGGAATGTACTTGACTGCTTGTCTGCTTTTTTTCCTTCTCAAAATGTGTCAAGGGGAGGAGATACAAAACAACACACACCACCCTGTATTTATACCGTGGGGGACTTCTTAAACCCTCACTGAGCTCTGGGCTGATGCACTCTGAGGAAGGACCAGAGTATCAACAGGGTTGCTGATCTTCTGAAGATGCGGGTCTCAGTGGTTAGTACTGTACTTTCTCCTGTACTTGCAGGTTTGTTGTTGTTTTGACCTTATGTTAGAAGTGTAGGTAGGTAGTGGCAGCATCTGTACTCAGATTTGTTACCACAATGAAACAGTGACTCAAGGAGAAGCAAAAGTAGCTACCAAGCCACGACTTGAGTGGGAGTAAAATAATTTCAGGTCAAAAAACTAAACTACTTAGGACATTCAGCAGGTCTCGGCAAAGGAAATGACTTTTATTTGACTGGTTTTTTTCTTTTTTGATCTAAAATCAAATGCCGAAGTGAGAGTTTTGAGCACAAGACGCGTTCATAAGACTTTCTTATTGATCTAAAAATACAGTATAAAGACCCGTCTTCACTAACAGGTTAGAAGGCAACAAGTTTTGCAGTTCATTAAACTTTTCTGTCCTCTTCTCTTCTCTTCTCTTCTCTTCTCTTCTCTTCTCTTCTCTTCTGCTCTGTTCATCTCTCCTCCTAGTTTTTCAGGGCTATGTTGGTGGTGGTCTTGGTGGCACTGCTGCTCGGAGAGGACAGTTCTCCCTCACATAAAAACAGAGGAAAGAAGGAAAAGAAGTCCAGGGGTGCGGCTGCACTGAGCAAACCTAACCGGGGCTCACGAGGGAAGATGAGAAAGCTCTGGATTAGTCTGGATCAAGATCTAATAAACCCATCTGATTCCTCCCTCTTATCTCCAAATCTGTCCACCTCACCGTGGACATATGAGTGAGTCTGTTTAAAAGCTTTATTCCAAAAACACAGTGTATAGGTGGCTAACCTGCATGTGATCAATTATGATCAGACTTCTATTTTGGCACCATAGTTGTAAAAAAGATGTATGAATATAACTAAATGATACTAGCGCTCTTACAATTACATCAATTCAAATATCAATTTAAATTGACCTTCTTCATACCATCTAATTATTTGTGATACTACAGGTTAATAGTAATGAATACTTGAAAATTCTCCTATTGATCTCTCTAAATATAATTCTTCATATGCATTTTTTAGCTAAACAGAATTTTTTAAAGACTTCTTGGCCCTTTTCCAAAAATTTTGGAATCTATGAGAAGCTATGGTCCGTGATATTTCAGTCAAAGTCAATTTTTCTAATTTAGCCTCTTTAAAAACTCTCATTACTCAATTAATGGTCTCACTTTATTTGGATAGTCCACTATAGTCCCCTATAGATTATCTGCAGATGTTCAAATTGTTAACAAACTATCTGTTGAAACTCAGTTGATTCTAAACAGTGGTGGGGTTAGGGTTAGGATTTGGACCAGGGCGAGGGTTGGGTTTGGGTTTAGGGTTGAGGTTAAGGTTAGAGTTAGAATTAGAGCAGGTTTAGAGTTAAAAAAATTATGGCCGATTTAGCAGATATTTTGTTGAATGTAACTTGAAAGTAAATTAACTATCTGAAAAGCATCTAAAGTGGCCTATCCAAATAAAGTGTTACCCAATTAATTGGCAGAATTATTGTTTGGTTACACAATTTTAGGTGGTATTATTCTCGACTGCTTTGTTATCAACAGCACCACAGAGAAATCTATATACAGCAGATTGGTTTGCGCCCAAGGACTGAATGTATGCACATTTCAGAGGGAGAAAATATGATGCATTATTTGTTTTATATTTATTTGATGAGTAATGTTTTTATTTCCTTGTAATCTTTTGATTTAGTTTGCTTTAGTTTTAGAACTATTTTCATAAATATGGTATATAGTTATCAATGTGCGTGTTAATCAAGCCTCCTGAATGACTCTGTGGTCAGAAAAGATAATGAAAGTGACCACTGGAGACAAACATTTTAGTAGTTTTGTGTTTGCATGTCTGTATTTAACTGTACACACCAACCATTTTTTTAAATTTATTATTAGATGTTAAATATTCTGGGTAATTTATGTATTCTGAGGATTAGTACGAATTGTAAAGGGCAGCTGGTATTTTCAAATTATGCCAAACAACAAAAAATGGCGACACAAGTTTTGTTCCAGTGATGATACGCTGCCTTCTAGATGGCATCTTTTTCATGGACATTATGCTTATTTCAACATTACAACGCAAAGCCACATTTCACAATTTGGAATAAGTAAATATGTATTTGTGTTTTTGTGCTGTTTTGAACTGAATACACATCAAACAGTATTTACTGATCACTGTTTTCTATTTTTATTAGCATTTCCCAACTTTCTTGGAATTGAGGTTTGTAAAACTAGATTAGGTCAGGTTTCACAAAAAACGCAGAGTGCGTTTACATGCACTTAATAATCCGATAACAGCAGCAATCAGATTTTGTCAGTAATCTGATCAACAGATTTACATGCACTTGAGTAGTCAGATAATGGGAAACTCTGCGTATACATGAGTCAGGCAATAATCAGGTTTCTGCTTTGCAACCAGTCAATAAACTCACAGAAGAAGACGTAACGTAAACTCAAACCTGTCACTCATACCATGGCTTTTTTAAAAAAATTGCACCACTTTACCTAAAATATGAACATACATCATCTAGAAAATAAAGAATATTTAAACCCCTCATTTCGTCCAGCATGTATTTGGTTTCAGCGGCGCTCCAAAAGTGTTTTGCTGCCATCTAACGGCAACGCTGCTCGCTTATTTCTGGTCTGTTTTCACACATGCGCAGTCGGAGAAATCAGAAAGAAATCAGAGTAAGAGTTCACATACACTGAGAAATCTGATTACTGAGCTAGAATCCAGCTCTCTTTATCAGATCTTTTAATCAGGTTTCTAGATCGAAGTATGGTGTTTACATGACCATTTGAATAATCCGATAACTGCAGAAATCTGATTATGATCTGATTCTTGAGTGCATGTAAACGCACTCACTGTCTCAGGTGTTAATTTGTATAATGTGTCATTTCATTTTTTAATGTCTAGACTGGGCTTTAACGTGTGCTCCGTTCATTCCAGGGCCTCTTATGATGAATCCCGCATCCCCAGCCGCATCTTCGAGGCGAAGTGTGAGAGAAAAGGCTGCGTGACCAAAGACGGACATGAAGACACCGCTCTGCAATCCAAACCTGTCTACTACCAGATCCTGGTCCTCAGGAGAGTGAAGAGCAAAAAGAAGAAGTACGCCCTCCGGCTGGAGAAAATGACCATCAGTGTGGGCTGCACATGCACTTTACCCACCGTCATCTCTCAGATGTCATAATGCAGCTCTTTCTTCTACAATCTGCTGTTGCTGACAGGAACAGTTCAGTTTTAGGGCCTTTTGTATCTCTAGGCTACCATATTTATTGCTTTAACTACAGTTGTGACATAAAGTACTAGTCAACTGTTTGGACACACTTCATTGAATTCACGTTTTTCAGAATTGTGAAGACATTTTTATCTAGAGAAATTTCTTTCTAAGATAAAAACATAAATAATGAAGTTCGTGCCTGTGCATGAATGTATAAAAAGTAAAAATTTAAAAATGTTTAAAAAATGTTTTTAAAATTTAAAAGTGTTTTTTGAAATTGTTTGAGGGAAGCTGCATCAAGGCTAATGGGGCTACACTTTTAAAAATAAAGGTGCCAGCTGGATTCTTCTGGGTGATGTTATAGAAAAAAAGGTTCTCTAAAGAACCCTTAAGTGGGTGGTTCTTTCATTTTTGTAACTGAGATGTCAGTTTGTAAGGTTTTAAAAATGTCCACATAATTTAAGGTTTCTTCACCAATGAAAGTTCATCCAAACCAAGAACCAAAAAAATGAGGAACCTTTATTTTTAAGAGTGCAGTTTGAAGAATCTAAAATATGATCTGATGTTTTGAGTTAAATACATAATTCTGTAAATGTTTTTTTGTATGTCCAAAAGTTTGTAGACACCTTTTCATCCATTTCTTGTGCAATCGAGGGTTTTAACAAGGAGTTTGCCCCCCATTTGCTGGAGTAACGGCCTCTACTCTTTTGGAAAGTCTTTATACTTGATGTTGGAACATTGCTGTGAGGATCTGATTGCATTCAGCCACAAGAGCATTAGAGTGTGGTCAGGTACAGTCATCCTAAATGTACTGGATGGAGCTCCTTCACTCTAGAGAACACAGTTCCACAGCTCTACAGCCCAGTGCTGGGGGGCTTTATATCTCTTTAGCTAATGCTGGACACTGGTTATGGTGATCTTAGGCTCATATGCAGCTGCTCCAGATTGGCGATGCTTTTTTATAGGAATTTCTATGTGCAATTGACCACACGTGTCAGTATTTATAGCACCTTAGAAGGCCTGTGTGGATACTTTTGGACATATAGTATAGTTATGATATGTACATGATTCTAAAAAAGTTTCCACACTTGTGTCCACACTTTTTTGCTGGTACTGTTCACAGATGAGAGTATCTGGCCACTTTTCTGATGGATGGACTTGGTGAAGCACGTTTTCCCATGGCTTGAAACATCTGAGCTTTTCTCACAAACATCTTTTCTTCATCATTTTGACTCAATACAATGAGACGTAGACCAACGCAGATCAAACAAAGGTAACAAATCAAAAATGGGTCGTTTAGTCAAGAGAAGCTTTTACTGACCATGTCGAAACAGAGTTTAGGGCAACCACAAACATAGGCAGCAAGTGGGGTCCATTATATACATACGCCTCCTCAACAAATCACATCAATTCTCATCACTGAACGTTATGTCACTTTTACCACAAACACAAAGTCCTCTTCAGTCTTTTTGCAGTTCACAGGTACAAGAAATGACCACAGTTTACGCAAAGGATAAAACACAATTTCATGCCAAAACAAAGTGCACCATTTCCAAGTAATACTGAGGCAGCTTCTTAAACTGGCGCTTTATTTTACACATAAGCGTGTTTTTATTTAACCCTTCTCTTTCTCCATCCGGCGTGATCTGTTGATGCAAAGAAGGCTATGTGCTCTTGTATTGTGCTTAGATTAGCATTAGTTGTCTCCAGGCATTAAAACGTGAACAGGCTGATAGTTATGAGCTTCATAATAATCATCATGTCAAAATAAAATTGGCTCACAAACTGCATCATCATGAGCAACAAACTAATGCAATGTGAGGGAATCCTGTATTATTGATTCTTTTTACTGGCTTGTGTTCTGTGTCCATTAAAGATCTGTGATTAAACATGCATAGCTTACTTTGTTAGTCTTCATACACTGGTGGGAAGAAGAAGCTTGTGAGCTTGTGTGAGATGTGATTTCTAGTTGTTAACACCTTCATCTTACCATCTGACCAGTCTTAGTGGTTTTCTATTACAACTTGGTTTTCATCTGTTCTCTACGCCGTCAGCTCGGTTTGTACCAATTATCCATTTTCTCTGCCATCCAGACTTGAACACTAGAACATTGGTGCACCTTGCATTGCCATCTAGACAAAAAACAGGCATCTTTTGGTCTTTTTTCCATGACATTATTTAGTTTTGACATTGTTAAACCGCACAAAAAAGATTTAGTGTGATTCAAATTGTCATTAGCAATGTCCACTACTCTCCTCCATTACTTCATTCCTTCATCATTCTCCTGCTTTCTGTCTCCGTGGCTCCTTTTTCTTTTTTTTTCTTTGACTAGCCAAAGCAGTCCTCCTCTGCCGGCTCCTCTACCGGCAGGCCTCCTCCTTCAGCTCCTTATTCTTCCTCACTTCTTCTGCATGCTTGTCCTAAAACCATAAAAAAACAGTCCTGGCTTATTCAGTATTCATTCATGAATTAGCAGAACTGAGGGGGAGTCAGCTGAAAGTAAAGAGTACAACAACAAACTCCTCTGTATGCAATATTTATTCTAATTACACTTGCAGGGACAGCAAAGCTGTGGGTCATCAGACCAACCCTGTTATGCATCTACGAAAGTAGGAGGGACATTATTGCCACTTTATCAGAAACACTTCCCTTCAATTCCACTCACAGCCATGTTATGAGCTGCTCTTACAGCCTTAAAAATGGGTCTTCAAGGGTTCTTTAGTGAAGACAATGGTTCTATTTAGAACCGTGAACACTTTTGCATGATTAGTGTTCTAAGAAGCTTTTACAAGATTAAAGGGTTCTTCGCATCATGAAAGCGTTCTTCAGATCGATGGAGAATGTGTTGTATATGCTTCTATATAGAAACTTTTTCAAAAGGGTTCTATATAGCCCCCAACAAGGGTTCTTCTATTGTTACAATGTCAGGCTTCTTACAATAGAAGAACATTTTTTGGTTCTATATAGAATCCCTTTCAAAAAAGACTATATATAGAACCATCTTCGGCATTAAGAACCCTCTAATCATGCGAAGGGTTCTCTGAGTGTTCATGGTTCCATATAAAAACATTTTCTTTACTAAATAAACCTCGGAGAACCATCAAGTTTAAGTGTGTACCTTATAGAACCACTGTATGTGTACAATATGTAGTATATATACTGTATACACTCTTAAAAAGATGGTTCTTTAAGGTTTCTTTAGTAAAGACGATGGTTCTATTTAGAACCATAAACACTCAAAGAACCATTTGCATGATTTAAGGGTTCTTTGCATAATGAAAGCGTTCTTCAGATTGATGGGGAATGTGTTGTATATGCTTCTATGTAGAACCTTTTTGAAAAGGGTTCTATATAGCACCCAAAAAGGGTTCTTCTACTGTTACACTGTCAGGCTTGTTACAATAGAAGAACGCTTTTTGGTGCTAAATAGAACCCTTTTCAAAAGGATTCTACATAGAAGCATACGCAACACATTCCCCATCAATCTGAAGAACGCTTTCATTATGCAAAGAACCCTTTAATCATGCAAAGGGTTCTTTGAGTGTTCAGTGTTCTATATAAAAACATTTTCTTTATTAAAGAAACTTTGGAGAACCATCATATTTAAGTGTGTACCTTATAGACGACTACATGTGTACAATATATACTATATATACTGTATTAGCTCTTAAAAGGATGGTTCTTCAAGGTTTCTTTAGTAAAGACAATGGCTCTATTTAGAACTGTGAACACTCAAAGAACCATTTGTATGTCTAAAGGGTTCTATGCATTGTGAAAGGGTTCTATAGAGCACCAAAAAAGTTTTTTTTTTCTGATACAAACGTGACATTGTAACAGTAACAGAACCCTTTTTGGTGCTATATATAAACATTTCAAAGGAGGTTTTATATAGAAACATATACAACACACACATTCTGAATCAAGAACCGTTTAACCATGCAAATGGTTCTTTGGGTTTCCATGGTTCTGTATAGAACCATTGTCTTTACTAAAGAACCTTTGATAAATCGTTAAGAGTGTATAGCATACAGTTTATAGCAGTGGCACATCTGTTTTCATCCTCTTTCTAGCCCGTTTAAAACTCAACAATCTTAATGCATCACGTTGCTTTGAAATGATTCAGGTTGGGAACTACAGCCTGATCACTGTGTCATGCAGACGGTACCTTTTCCTGAAGCCTCTCCAGCATGGCTGCCAGCAGGGCCTCACGGTTCTCCTTGTTGGCCTCCATTTTCTGCTCCAGCTTCTCTTTTGCATTCTTGATGAAGTTGTTGTTCTCCTCAAAGGCCTTCTGGATGACCTCCCTCTCGTGCTCTCTCTTCTCTGCCAGGTGTTTCAGCAGCTCTGCTTCCTGGCACTGGATAAAGGCAGTCTGTGTTAACTCTTTCACTATTTTGGACATCAAAATGTGTGTGTTAAAAATATATAGACAGACTGAGAAGCAGATTGAGAGAGAAAATGCACATGAATTCCAACCTTTCGTCTCTCCTCTGCAGCCTCCAGCTTCTTCTGGATCTCCTCAAGCGAGGGGTCCTTGCGGTGGGGCATGGAGGTATTCAGCTCGGGTACGCCGTCAAACGACGGGGGCTTCAGGATCACCTCGAAAGCCTGACCAGATGCTCGCTTGTTCAGCTCGATGACCTCTACGTCTTTGATCTCGCACCAGTTGAGATCCACTGCATCTGTGAGAAGAGCAGGGTAATATAATGTTAACCCCCTAAAATCCCAGGTTTATTACATACGAAGGCTTATTTTTCAGCTACAGGGACTTTAATGCAAACTGGTTGAGCTATTCTCAGGTTATAGAAGTGTGTAATAAAACTTTGGGCCTGCTGTTAGACCCTGTCCATTTAAGGGGTTAACTGATGTCAGTCAGGTTTGAAAGTATTCAAATATTTATTAGCAGTGGAGTCTCTGCCACAGAAAGCTAGTTGGGGCACAATAAACTGTAGGGGCAGCAGCCGACTCCTTAATGAAACTACACACAAACCTGATCCAAACACAAATGCACTCCATCAACGAAATCATAAATTAACGTCACATGGTGCAGGAGTTGCTGGAAGTGGAGACAGGAATATGAGTGATATGATAACAACATTAGATCTCACAAAACCTTGTTATACAGCATCGCATTACAAATCCAAATCTATTTAGCAGTAACGATTATTGTGGTCTGCAACTACACATCCAAAGTAACGTATCAGAGCAGGGAAACACACTTTCCAGGCATTAGGAACAACACGCCTTGTAAAAGTGCAGAATGACTAAGCGGTAACGTTCACTGCTCAAAAGGAAAAGATGCACGACGATCTTTCATCCGGGCAAACTTGTCAAAAACTTTTCTCTCAAAGTCACCAATCAGTGAATGAATTCGAGTGATTGTATAGCCGGGGCAGGCAAGGAAAGCAGAAGAGTGTTTTTAGCTACACTCTCAGTTAGCCATGTTTTTCTCTTGAACCTCTCTGGACTGAAGCAGCAGTTTTTGTCCTTTCCAGACTGAATGATGTTGAAATGCTCTGGCTGGTGTGACACAAACATTTAATTTCTAATTTCTGATCTAATGTCTGGTACCAAATTTAACTTTTATTACATTTTCAACTTGACTCATCATACTGCCTTACTATTATTATGAGTGGCTACCACAACTGGTGAGGAACAATGCCCATACCGTAAATACATCTGGACGTATATACATTTTTTATTTTTAATTGGCTGCACTCAGCATGGGATCAGCGTGATCGGCCCCACAGCTGGTTATTGAAAGTGTGTTGAAGATGCTCAGAGTGTTTTTAACTGCCCACTTGGTTAGATGAACACTGAGGGGCCCCACGCTCACCAAACAAAGACTGCTAGGAGAAACAGGTCGGCTACTGGCATTTAAACAACAGGTAGAGGAAGGTATTTGGAATGTATTGGACAGCCCTACCACTGTCATATGTAATAAACGCGAAACAATGTTAGTTACGAAGAAAAACATCTGTATTAGTTGTTATATTGAATTATTGATTAGTCATGCACTGCTCCACAGCGACATCTGGTGGCCAGGACCAACTGGCGCTTAATGTAGAGACGCCCCTGTACATTTGTTGTTGCACTATGGAATAGTTTAGCAAAAAATCCCTCAGCCTGGTGGTAGCTGATCAGGAATTAATAGGATTGTATACCCACCAATTTGCATAATGCAAACTGCATGTCTAAATTGTCACACTACTGTTTTTTGAGACTGAATTAAATAGTCATCTGCAAAAATGGACACAGACATCAATACTATGTATTGTAATGTGATGTCATGTATCTTTGTCTATCATTTATGTCTGAAATCATTGAACTTTGAGGGACATATTTCAGAATTTAGTCATACAGTTTGTATGGTATAAACCGATGGGCTTTAGGCTTCTGTTACACAATATCTACATTAGCCTTGTGGCTCCAGTCTAAACCGAAAGAAGCAAACTTCGGACACACTGATAAAATAGTGCTATGAATTTACATGATTTAACGGTGTCACTCACTATCACAGAAATTCAAAGCTCCATTTTTTCAGTGCATCACATCAGGTCTTCGCTTCAGCTAATTGGATTGTTCACCAAGCTATTCTTTGAAGCTGTACTAGTTAAGCTTGAGAGTACTGAAATACACATGATTAAGAGGTCAGTCAGACGTTGTTATGTGACGTTAGTTAACAGCCAGTCTAAGACCGTTCTTTCTGCTCCATATTCTGCTGTTTACCTTCGGCCTTGTACACTGGCTGGTCTACAGGGATGGAGTTGATGCAGGAACAGAAGCGTGACACCAGAGGGAGCTCCTTTAGCTTGTCTAGGTAGGCTGAGGAAAGAAACTGCATGTTATTCAAAAGCTTACAAAATAGTTCTTTCAAAGAAACTATAAG